CATGGTTTGTTTTCAAATGGTTTGCTGCTGTCTGTTTGGACCTTTCTGAACATGTGCAGCAAATGGACTGATCCAATATGGTGGACACTGAAGGGGGGGGGCTGAGACACACTTATTATCAGCGTTCTGATGGCGTTTAGTTTAAGGATTTTAATCAAAACCATCATTATTGTGCACAAATAAGGAATAGTTGTATTAATTACACATGTAAACAGAGTTTTATGGGGCCCCCAGGAACTTGGGGCCCTAAGCAACTGCCTAGTATTGCCTAATGGTAAATCCCCCCCCCCCCTGGTATGCATACAGTGTTTTTTTCTCATTATAGATGCCCCATGTCACAAAGCCAGAGTAAATACATAAAGGGCTTTTCGGTAAATGGTAACTACATTTTTTCTTCACAAGCTGAGTTAAATCTCAAAAGTCTGATCTGTAGAATCAAGAGCTAATAAATCAGTTTCTGCCTTTTTGGGAGTGGAGTCCTCCATAAACGGGGGTGACTTTCCCTGGAGGGGTCAGATCAGCGACTCCTCGACCATTTCGCAAAAGAACGCAGAACAGCAGCTTCTCTTCCCTCAGATAAGGTCAGAGTTTATGAGTGAAATCTAAGAAACGTTTAGAAGCGGTGAAAGCTGCAGTGGAGCAGAAAGAACAAGGAGGTATCTTACATCGGCCAAAAGCATTAAATGTGCTGCAGACTGATGACGCTTCATCTGGAATAAAACCACTGCAGCTCCTGATCAATAAAACACGATGAAGACACGGTGGTCATCAACTTTCCTGCAGCTTTGGGACCTAGAAGGTTTGCTGTAGCGGGTGGAGGCCGTCAGTTTGGGACATTATGCTGGGACGCCCGTCACCGTGGCTGAAATAAAACGATTCTGCAAAGGAGAGAGGGTCAGAACTCCTCCAGATGTTCAGGACTTATTGCCAGTTCTCATAAAGGTCTGAGGTAGGAATCAGTTTTCCACGCAGAGCTCAGTTCGTCCTCCTTCATAAATCAGATGTTGTCAATAGCTCTGCTGTTGGATTTCTGATCCCCAGAGTGAGATGCTTTCTGAGATCTTTTAGCCTACTTCCTGCTGTCAGACATACTCTATGTGAGTGTTTCAATGATTTACAGGTGTGGGAGAAAAGAGGTCAAAGGTTATTAACTCATGTATCCTTGTAAGATATTGACTTTTTGAAGTTCTAAATACATTTTCACACATGATGCATGTTGACCCAACCTGCATTTTCCTTTCCTCACAATGAGACACGCACAGTCCCACTTAAACTGGGAGCTGTGGGAGCTGTGGGAGCGCTGGGGCCCCCGGAGCTGGCCGCGGTGCGAGATGACTGCAGAATAAATTACCAGCTGCTCTAAGAGGCTCTCATTCCAGGAGAACACGGGGATGAAAAACAACACAAAACTGGAGAGAAAACAGGAAAAGCAAAGAGCAGAGCCCAAACTCACACACCCATCCCAACACTCATGCAGCCCCCACCCAGTTTAATCCACACACACATTTTTAACCCCCCCCCCATCCCAGTTCTCCTCTCTGGCTATCTCCACTCGTGCTCCTTCCTGTCCAGAGGATTGTCAGCAGTGGTCACATTATGTCCTTTCACTGTCTGTGATGAGGGGGCTGCAGCGGCAGAGCGGGCTCAACTCCAAACATGAAGTTCAATATCAACCCCCCCACTCCCCCCAGCAGCCCCCCCACTCCCCCAGCTTTACAATGAAAGCAGGAAGGGCAGGGAGAGGACGAATGAGCCACCCACTGCTGCTTTCACCACTGAAAGCCTCCATGTGATTCTCCTTTTTCTTTTCCGTTTCGGTGCGTGTGAAACTTTTACATCAGGCTGTTTTCCTCTCAAAAAGGTTGAATCATGTGAATAAAAAAAGAAGAAAGTGCTTTAAAGATGAGCTAAAGCAAATGTTAACCACCCAGACATGTGTAGGGTGTTCTTTTTTTCCCCCCTCTGGACTTTAGGGACAGGCTGGGATCCTGTCTAATATTTACTTTTGCAGATGTTCGAGGGCGAGCTTGCACAATCAATTTTCCTTCAATTCCCCGCTCAGCCGGCCTTCAAACCTGCAGCCCCCCCCCTCCCTGTTCAACATGTGCATGCCTTTGAGAAACCATGGTGAGCTGGGTGTTTTCTTCTCTCTTATTACCCACTTGGATGTGTGTGTGTGTGATGCCTGCTTGAATTAAACAG